CTTGTTACATCAATTTCAACGGTAACAGTTTATTGATTTCTATTAAAAACGTTTCAGGTCCTTTTCATCAATTTCCTAAACCTGAATACCCAAATTTGGAGAAATTCATTCAATGGAAAAATATTTTAAATGAAGACATGAAACAAAAGGAAGATTCTTACATTTATAACAACATAAGAATATGTGATCGTCATTTTGAACAGTTTTACCGTTCTTCAAGTAAACGACTCACTCAAAATGCTGTACCAACTTTATACTTAAGTAAGTATCTAAAGTAATCTACTTCCCAAGTAGTTATAGGCACACAATACATACTACTAATAGAAAATAACTATAAATAATCAATTATATTTTATAACTATAGATAGTATTAGGTATACATTATTATTATTTTACTTTAGAAATTGGTGCTTATAATTAAAAATTAAAAACAAAAAAAAATGATTTAATTGAATATAAAGAAATAGGTATGGTATACAAGTCATCTTAATATTTTTATATTCTTACATATGGTTTGATAAATTTATAATGTGCAGTCTTTATTACCTTTTTTTTATCTAAATGAAGGAAAGTGCCCACAAACAGTATTCCAAAATAACTACTTGTGTCACTTCTTTACATAGGTAAAACAAAAACAAAGTGTTCTAAATATGCTGAGATTATAATTTCACTGGATAACTACAAACCAAAAAAAGTTGTTTATAGTTTTTTATGTAATATAAGAATGGCAGTGTTTAATTCAGTAAAAATTACAAGTCTATTTACATTCAATCAGAAACTCTAAATGAAACAAGGAAGGAAAATACAATCAAGACAATATGTTATCATTCAATTTTAAGATTTTAGATTTAACTTTTCTTTTGATATATTTAGTTGTATTAAAAAATATGTTTTATTTAGCAGCATCAACATTTTAGACTGTACACTCATCACATTCTGTTGAAACTCAAAAATGTGTTGATACACAAAAAGAAGACAATGATGCATCTTGTAGTCACCACTTGGATTTAAATATGAATCAAGTTCAGCTACAAAGGAGTTCTGCTAATTCCTCTCAATTATTTCCTAAAAGTAGGTTACAGGCATATAACTAAGCTTAAAATTAACTATGATTGCTATATTAACTTTAAAATTATAAAACAGCATAAAGCATTTTAAATACAATATAAATTTAAACCACAGATTCACTAGATTTGCAAGTATCGAGATTTATTTCATATTTTCTTCAAATATGTATATTTTTTGTCTTTTAATAAACTTTTTAAGTAAATACAGATATTAACTCAGATGAGTGATCAGCATCTACATTTAAACCTAAGATGTTCAAAAATGTCTTCTCATCATTTAATTGATTTTCTGAAATCCCTTATGACAACTATTAGTCCCGTCGTTAGAGATACTACTGTATACATAATTAAACATAACTAACTTTATCAATATTTATAAAACATACATTTCGCTCCCTCGTCTCCTGCCAGCCGGCCGTGGTCTTCCTAGTTACTCGTAATGGATGTCTTTTTCTAATGCTGATGCTTCATGGTGTTTTTTTTTACATATATCTAATTACATATTATATTTTATATTATTGGCATTACTTACATTATAAGTTCTTATACTTATTGAGTAACATTTTTAGTTAAGTTTGATATTAGTGTTTATTTTATTGTGTATTATGTGGTAGGAATTTTGAATTATTTCCTAAGGTTTACATACATTGGGCACAGGGTTTTTTAACGTTATCGTTTTGATTGCTTCCTTTTTGTTATTTTAACTATTATCTTTACAATTTTCGGCCCAAAAAATCCGACTTCTTAATGTAAGTTGGTAAGTTTGTTTACAATTAAAGTATTGTCTTTATAAAAATAGTATTATTTGTAACGTTTCAGGACTCGTGAGAATATATAATTCAAGATGAGGGTAGAAGCTGTTGGTGGAGTGTCTGTTAGGACGTGGTCTGCGGACGAGAGGAAACCTTCTATGAAGAGAAGTTTATATAGCTGATGTACGATAGTAGTGTGACGGTATGTACTGTTGAATATTTAATATTATTCTCTTATTATTTATAGTAAGGGTGAACAAATAATGACTAAATAAATAAATGAAAGACAGTAAATTAATTAATAAAAGATTTATTTCTATAAAATATATAAATGGACGCGAATTATGTAACATAATTTAAAATATTTAATATTTTAAGTCTACGTATATATGTTACAAGTTCCTGAGTTATTAAAAAAATATTTTTACCGCTTTTTTTAAAAGTCTACTTGTATGTAGATTTGTATGTTTGTAACTTCTTTCCTGAAATAATTGTAATTATAATAATAACTAGCTCTTGTCCGCGGCTCCATCCACGTGAACATGAGTTTTTTTCTATCACTATGGCCACTGAACCTGGACTACTTCCACTTCATGGTTCCGCCCGTGTCGTATTGGTATTTCGGTCGGGATCATGGAATCGAATAGTTGGGATAAAAAGAAGCCCAAGTCCTTTTCCTTGGGTTTCATTTATATCCATACTAAAATTCATCACAAACAGTTCAGCGGTTTAGGAATGAAAACTTGACAAACAAACAGACAGTTACTTTCGTATTTATAACATTAGCAGAGATTTGATAATAATTATAATCACTAATAGAAATCAGGCTATTAATAATGGTTTACAAAACAAAGGCTTCTGTGGTAAGAAGAAATAATGAGTAGAATAGATAAATGTTAAATGGAAGAAATTAATTAAATTAGAAAACTGTATGACAATGGAATAGTAATATCTAGCACTCCACCAACTTAAACACAACACAAAATGAATCTCCTCTTTGAATTTGAATAATAAAAATATATTTATTTTTAACCAATCCTTGAACCGTCTTTGTATGTCTTTATATAAGAACAATATTGTATTATGTATTACAGATGGTGTTATTGGACTGTACTTGAGATTCATCCATCAGGAGATGACGGCTGATCATCAAGTCTTAGATGAAAAAAAAGAAAAAAAATTTGGAAAATGAAAAATTTAAAAAAAATTTGGAAAATGAAAAATTTATTTTTAATTTTAGTTTATAATTTGAAAAATTTATTTTTAATATGTAGTTGTATACTCTGGAAGTTCTCCAGATAGTCCCTCTTTTAGTTAATTTACTGTTTACAGAAAATTGTCGTTAAGCTGCTAAAACTATTAAAAATATATTGAAAGAGCATTTTCCAAACGATATCGAGTGTCATTTCATTAAAAGGGGCATGATTATTTTATCCAAAAATGGTACTGCAAGTAACAAACCTATATTTTTTACTTCACTATCGGAAAATAGAGATTTCAACGAACAGAAAACACATAAAATTTTTGAAAATAGCTGATATTTTGACGGGTGATTTTTCGGTTGAAAATGATACTGATTTTTCGATATTTATTCAAAATAAGCTGAAAAAATGAATATTTCTAATCAAATAAATTACAGCGTATATGGGAAATCAAAAAATAAGTTTTCACCAAATTTCGTGACAAAATATTGTTTTTTGTATGAGATAAAAATATAAAACCAAAATCTGAGTTTTTCGAATTTCTACATTTGAGGTTATGTGAAAAAAAAGTAAGAACAAAAGTTTTAGATCTTTTTATTAACTACAACTTTGCTGTTTAACTGTTTTCTGTAAAACTTAATTATGTCGAAAATCGAGAAAATCCATTTTTTACCCTTAAATACCCACCCCATACCGTACCCGACTTCAGATCGCCCGTTAATTATTTTTCCTTTAATTTTTATAATATTCCCCTCCTTTTCTAATGAATTTCATTCTACTATAATTTATTTTCACTTTTCATTAATTTTAAAGGATTCTGCACTGGCCTATCACAACTTTCTGATTTATTAAAAGTATTTCTAGCTTTACTTGGATGTTGGTTTGTATGTTTGTAACTTCTTTCCTGAAAAACAAAGATTTTCCTTACAAAATTCATCACAATCGGTTCAGCGGTTAAGTTATATATGTTGACCGATTTATATTTTACATAAAATATACGAATAGATACGTAAAAGATAAAACAATTCAAAATATTAAATACTTTACATAACTTCTTATTGCTATTTGACTATTTGAAACACACATACATTATACGTTACAGCTTTCTGATTTACTTACGAATACTTTTATCATTAAACAATAATTGAAGTAATTATCTTTGTATGTCTTTATATAAGAACAATATTGTATTATGTATTACAGATGGTGTTATTGGACTGTACTTGAGATTCATCCATCAGGAGATGACGGCTGATCATCAAGTGTTAGATGAAAACTAACAATGAACCAAGTATTGATGAAACATAGAATTATATGAAGAGGAGAATGACTCGGTTAGTGTAACTGTGCGGGATGACTTATAGTTAAATAATATGATAGAATAAGATGATAAATATAAGTGAAATGTATATACATAGGTTTGTACTTTGTAAATAGCTTTGTAAATATCTTTACATTCAACAGTAGATAATTTTACAGATACATTTAGAGCCAAATATTAAATTGTAACAAAAAACGCATATTAATGTGGTTGGAATAGTCTGTTATCTATCTATTTATGATAATTAAATAAAAAAGCTCACACAAACAATTGGTTGAATGGTGACGCCTCGCTACCACTGAATAGCACGAAGTGTTATAAATATCGGGCCGACCGGCCGTGTCGATCGATTGCAGTTGGGCCTTCGCACGGTGCAGTCGTGGGAATCCAAATGTTTCGATGGTGATAATGACCTGTGATCCAAACTTAAAGAAGAGGTTAGAGATCGACGTGTCCGGCGTCGATAAGCAGTGAACAAGAAAAGGGTAGCAGCCACCGTCGAATAGTAGCCGTTGTCCTGCCACCCAAGGTACTTACACAGTCGATAGGGAAGTAGGTACACCCCTGTTACCTAATAACAGGGTCTAGATTAAAATCAAGTAGGTTAACACACCTCCCTGTCTTGCAGGGAGGACTTCCCTTAAGTCCGTCGCCCATCATGGGCGACCATATTTCGGGCCGTTTAGAGGCCCTATTAGCGTACATTCAAAGAAAATATCCAGATGCGTATAGGGAGTTCACAGAGGTGGACCCTGAAATAAACCCTACCGTTTTCGATACGGACAGCCCGGCCTCACCGAACTGTCCAAAAAGCAATCCATGCGACATGGATTGCCCGGCAATCGGCTCGGAAGCCGAGTCAGACACGACGCCGTCCTCCTCGGACGCAGAAGAGGATAACGACGGGTTCAAACCCGTTCTTACCAAATCTGGTAAGAGGAAGGCGGCAAAATCTCTTAAGGCGCCGCCGCCAAACAAAAAAATCATCGACCCCAGCAGCTGCGCGCGCACCTGCGGGTACACCTGTGTCCGGACCTGCGGGTCTACCTGGGTCCGCACCCAAAAAAAATAACAGATACCCACCGCCTCTCTACATTAGAACAAATAAAAGCTGGAACGCCATATCTAGCCTTCTTAATGATAAAAAAATTAAGTACGTATCGGCCCGGAATACCTCAGCGGGGATCAAGGTCACCGCGGCTATTCTAACTGACCATCGCGTATTGTCCGCGATGCTCAGGAAGAATCAATTAGAATACCACACCTACGCCCTCCCGGAGGAGCGTAGGTTAACAGTGGTTTTTTTTTTTCTTATTACAGCTCCCTCCGACGTGGTCAGAGACTTTGTTTACATAATAGCTACTCTTTCATTCCAGTTCTATCATTCGTTAGGGCCTTTCATTCCGCATACTTTTTCCTTCCTTCATTCAACACTTTCATACTTTCTGATCATTGTGTACCTCCTACTTACCTATCTTACTTCTATTATTTTTATATTTCTATTTTCATTGGGTCGTGGGGGAGATTATCACAATCTTTTTTTCTTTATTTAGTACAATTATAACATTCCAATTTAGCATTAATTCCAATTACATTAAATTCCAATAATATAAAATAATACAATTTAAATATAAATTAAATAAAATTCAATAATAAATATAAGTCATAAAATAATTAAATTAATACGTTAAAATTTAAAACATAAACTAATATCACAGTAATTAAAAATTTTGTATTGAATAATCGGACTAAATTGGAACAATAAAATTAACATTAATTAATAATTTAAATAAAACATTATCAAGTTACAATAAATAATTAAAGTTACAAATAAATTTCTCTAAATCTAATGGTACAATCATCCTCTTGTTTTATTCCTCTCATTGGCTATTTTTACGATCTTCATCCACATTAACAGTGGTCATAAAGGGTCTCATTCGATATGGTGCTAGTCCACCTGTCACTTACCACGGAAGGTAAGAAGATATTCAATATAGCCTCAGTATGTCAGATATCCGCACTGACAATAGAGCCACCGCGGAACCGCGGCGCCCGTTGCCGATTGCCAATCATAATACGGGCACTCGCAGAGGTTCTGCTACGCCCGCCCGCGCTTAGTAAAGTGCCTAGGCCATCACGACACGTCAGATTGTACGAGGGATTCGGCTACGGTGGAGCAGCCTAGCTGCGTCCTGTACGGACAGAGTATTTTATAAATTCTTGCTTTGTTTCTTTGTTCCTCATAATTTTACCAAGATAAGTTTTTTCCCAAAAAAGTCCGTGAGTCGGCTCTCAACCCTGCTGCATCTCTGGAAACCAACGCTTGGGTAACCAATGGCTAAATAAAGGCGTAATACAGCACCGGGTTTTACGAACGAGTGCGATTTAGGCCGGAAAACCCCTCAGGTACCCTAGGCCCCTAATGTACCCGCGTAACCACCCACAGCCGGCCTAGCAGCCGATCTACAACTTATCTGCGACTTCGTTCCTTTACATTGAATTTAGACTTGACAAACAATATCTTTAACAGTACAAGTTTTATATGTACTATCTTTTGTTAAACCCAGTCAAGTATTCACTAGTCACTATTTGATGTGCTTTTCTAATGTTTTATTGTTATTTATAATCTGATAAAACATAAACCATCTTAAATGTTTTTTTTCTGGATGTACTAATTATGCTTATCATACTTTTTCCTCTAGAATAATTAGTTTTTAATGGAATAGTATTTATTATACCACTGAAAGTTTTTGTTATAATGTATCTTGAACTGTTTTCATTTATAATTTTTATATAAACCTCATTAATCATATAGAATATTAATATTGTTGAATTGAAATTAATTATAATTATTGTGGATGTGATCTTTGTGTTTTATTAAGTAATACATCTAATTGTTGAACTCTATTAAAAACCCTGTGGAAAAAAAACTATTCCATATTCAATCAATCATATCCACTACTCGACGAATGCCGCTAGTGGCGCCACCCCGTGTTGTTCACAGGAAAGATTAGTATGTTGTGTAAAACCTCATACAATAAAAGGGTTTGTAAGATGCTGCTTATAGAGTGAACATTAAATACTGTTATTAAGAAAATTACATACCTAATGTAATAATGTACTTTAGTGTACACCACAATAAGATAGTCATTTAACAATAAAAATTAAATATATCTTCTATAATATAAAAATGAATGGCAAAATGTGTTGGTAAGCGTATAACTCAACAACGCCTGGACCAATTTGGCCAATTCTTTTTTTTAAATGTTCGTTAAAGTCCAAGGATGGTTCTTTCGGCGAGAAAAAATCTAATAATTTCCGGGAAAACCCTAAAAACAACCCTTTTCCTTCTCACATACAAACGTTTTCTAACTAAAACGTCGAATCAATTTGAGCTTTATTGCTATTATGTTCAATTATCATATTCCATTACAAGCTCTCACTGTTATCTAAGAAATGCAGGTGTTTTCCTAAAGTCAAAATTCCTAAATGTGCACTTTCTTACCGCCATACAAAGTTCAAATTCAATCATATCTATCAAAACGGGGTGCGTGTTGCGTTGGAATACAGAATACGTCGTTGGAGCATTTAATGTCGAGTTCAGAAACTAAAAAAGTGATCACGGACCCGACCAATTGAATAGGTAGTCACAAAATATAATAATAACCATCAGATTTGTTTGTCTATGCGCCAGGTAATCAAACAAAAAACATCGTTTATCACAAAGCACTGAATGAAAATAGAACTGATTTTATTTGTTAATATTTATGATTTACATTTTACATGATTAAAATTACTTACTTTTAAATGCGCCATACATAAGCTGAGCTTGTCGTTTGTGTTATTAGTCTATGATAAACTATTGTCTCTTTCTTAAAAGTTCAGTAATCAGTTATTCTTCGAAATTGTTTGCAAAACAGTAAATTTGTTTTTTTTTGTGTGGTTTTGTACGAGTACATATTCAGTTTCACTATTTGTGGCCGGAGTTATAATAACAAAATACCTACATAATTCATTTCCCATTTCTTAGTGTAACTTTCACATTCAGGTTTCTACAAGATAATATTTTGTACTGTGTGTTTTTTTCTGAAGTGTTTGTCCAACAAGGTAAAGTCAAATTATTATAATGTTGGAAAGTTTTGATAGACCATTTTGATACTATTACAAAAGCATAGGAATAGAATAATAGTATTTTTTATTTTCAGTTGAAGTTTTGTTTCAAAACATGCCGGCAATTAGACGTACAAACTTAAGTCGCAGAACCCGTAATGTCTCAAATCAAAGATATTAGATATAGAAGAGCAAGTCTAACTGATGAGCAACGTTAAACGCGGAATGAAGTTGAACGGAATCGATGGAACCGAAACCAACAATATAGAAGTGTTGCTTTTAACCTCTATAGAGCTGCATTTGATTATAACAGAAATGGTCAACAGTACAATATATTTTATGCCAACTTTTAAGGTAAGTGTAGTTTTAAGGCAAGGTACATTTACCACTATTATTGACAGTTATCAATTGTAATGATGTATCATTTGAAATGGCTTAAAGTACATTTGTAGCTCTGTGAATTACTTTTGGTAGCCAGAAGGTTTAAAAAAGTTGAGGGGGGAAATGTTAGTGCTCACAATTCACAAAGTATTTTGAGTGTCATTTGGTGGTTTGAACAATTCACTTTACAATATGTATATGTAATACAGGAATGTTTACCTTTGCAGATTCAAGGACAAATATATCATTAAACTTATTAGTTATTACCAGTGCCGGTCAATAATTATAAATTTTTCCAAATTAATTTCATGGGCAATTCAGGAAGACAAGTTGATCAGCGTTGTGCACACAACTATTCTGTGAAAAGACCAGTTGTGGAACAGCTCCAATTATTATTCCATCAACACAACCCATTGGTTGCATTATTCAAGACCGCATTAGATCACATGACATCTGATAATCACAAAATTGTTATAAAAAACATAAGACATTTTAATGCCCAAAGAATTGATGAAGTCGCTATTGTCATTGTGGGTGAAAATGTGGATAACAGCAATATTGTTTTACACTGGTGTAACAATCAACTGCAGCGTGTGTCCGAAACACATCAAACATGTATAAATATATTTTATTTTATTTTGGTAAGTTGAAGATGGGTATTATTTTTAATGAAGATGATAAATCCAGTTACAGGTAAATAAGAAATTTAAGTTTTTAATGTTTATCATAGCTTTAAGTAATTTATATAATTTTATCACAAAAAAATGTTTTTAGGTTCTGAAACTAACAAAAAGTAAATTAAATGAATTAGTATTCATACAGGCTTATGGTTGGAGAAGTTGAGGTCAATCACATCTTAATATGTTAGCGTCTCTGACACCAATATGCTGTCGATATGTATGTAAAAGTAGAAACTGATTGATTAATGTTTATTAGGTTGAACCAGGCAAAACTTCATTGAGGAATAAGGAAATTAACTTCATTCAGATAAAAAGGTTACAGATATTTCTTCATTATAAGGCGGTATGAAGTCCGCCGGGCAGCTAGTTATGAAATGTTTGTTAGCCCAAGTTATAATTCACAGGCGGCTGGACCAATCCTTTAATATCAGATTGGTTTGCGGACTACGCTCGTGTTGTGTTCACTCTATACGCTGACCGAGTCAAAACTTGGATCACTCTCAATTAACCGCTGACGTTTTGTGACATTGCTTACACTTTTGGAGTTCACGCTCCAGGAATAGTAAGCACTGGAGTTGGAAATTATATCTGCAGCAAGAACACAATGTTGGCACACGCTAAAGCATGGCGTTTAGACGAAAATATAAAGGTAAAAGAATTATATGAATTCATAAAAAATACTTTAGGTACTTGATTTTTTGTTAATTAATAAAATTTCTAGGTTCTTCTGAATTAATTCTGCATACATATGCAAATGTATTACATTATATTTTAAAGGCAAAGTGTCCATCACCAATCAAGTCATGTGGTTTGAGGGAGAAGATGAAAATGAAGGAGAAGCGGCTGAACTGGCTCTACAGTTAATGGTGAAAACACAGAAACTAATCAAAAATAATAGTGT